ATGTGCTACCTTGGTTGTAGGGCCTTGCTGCACAGATGGCCTGCGTGATTTCTATGGCGGATGGCGCGCGCGAGACTGACGGGACCTGTGCACCATATGCATCCGACATGGCTTACAGGGCCTATACGGGTTACAGCGCCGATGTTTCGCATTTGGGGCTTGCAGTAGGGCCTACATCGCGCATAGATGCACGGCGTGCATGGCTCATCATGCTTACCTGGCTTAGATTGCTTAGATGTTTTGAGTGTTCATTTGCGTTTATGGGGCTTGAAAGGCTTAGCAAGCCGATTTGGGCTACAGGAGGCAAGCTAACGGAACGCAGGCTTCAAGTGCGTACCAACAGGGGCCCGAGTGGCCCCCGAGGCGCCCCTAAGAGGCCCCCGAGACACCCTCCCAAGAGCGGACAACGGCAGACAACCAGTCTATGCCGTTTCAGTTGGTTTGGGCGCGTTCTTGGAGCACCCTCGGGGTTTCCCGGCGCCCCCTCGCGCCCCCCTGGCGTCCGTTTGCGAGCCCGTTGGGGACTCTGCGAGACGACGCTGCAGGGCCTTGAAGAGCCCTGGGAGGGCCGCAGGAGGACCCACCAGACCGGTTGCGACCACGGGACCCTCTTGGGCGCCACCGTCGGGCGGTCCCCGGCGCCCCCTCTCCCCTCTTCCGAGGCTTCCATGGGCGTAAGAAAAAGTCAAGAGGGCCGAGCGGCACCAAGAGGGCCCTCTTAGCTGCCCAAGAAGACACAGAGAGCGGTCACGCGAGCGCTCTCTCTCTCGCGCTCGCGCGACCGTTCTCGGGGCTCTCTTGGGCCTCTCTCGGGGCCTGGCTGGAGCTGTCTCGGGGCCCTCTCGGGCCCCTCGGAGGGCCCTGGGACGGGCCTTGGCCCCCGCTCCCCCCCCCCCCCCTTCCCCTATGACGTAACTCTCCCCCCCCAGTGTGCTCTGGGCACTGCCGCCGTGCGCATTGGGATCCGCGTAGGTGTCCGCGTAGGAATCCGCATAGGAGTCTGGTCCGCAGTCGTCGTCGTCGTCGTCGTCGTCGCCGTCGTCGCCCATGGCTTGTCGCTCGTCGCTCATAATCGTAGAGCGCGCGGACGCGGCTGAAGCCTGTTTTTTATTCCGGGCCGACGACGGCAATCATCATTTGGGGGGGGAGGGGGTCGATGACGTCACGTTGCGCCGGCGGCGTATGGGAATGCTTAAGAATGACGGACGACGGGTAGCGCCAGCATGTAGGTGGCGATTTGCACCACAACGCCTGTGTACACCACAGTGCTTGCGTGCACCACAGCGCCTGTGTACACCACGCCGCCTATGTACACCACAGCAGCCGCGTGCAACACAGCGTCAGTTTTTTGCCACCGTGCTTGCGCGCGCACCAGCTCGTGTGCACACCACAGCGCTTGCGTACACCACATCAGCCGTGTGCAACACAGCACCAGTGTACACCACAATGCCTGCGTGTATTGCAGTGCCTGTGTGCACCACGGTGCCCGTGTGCACCACAGCAAGCGTATGCAACACAGCACCATTGTTGTATGCAGAATGTTCGAGCACATCCTTCGGAAGAAATGGGGCGCTTGTGGACTCCATAGGAAACAATAGAAAATAATCCTTATGGACAGTGGGGCGCCGCTGGAATCTACAATTCCTCCCGAGTCCGCCCGCATCACAGTAACCCTTCCCATCTGCGTCCAGAGGCTCCAGGTAAATTGGCCGCCCGAGACATAAATGGACCGATTCAATACACCATTATGCGTTGCGCGCTGAGCTGCGCACGTGCGCGAAAGCGCCAACCCGCACGACAGGGGTTGAGGAGGAGGAGGGGGAGGAGGAGGAGGAGGAGGAGGAGGAGGAAAAGGAAGTGGTGGAAGTGGAGGAGGAGGGAGGAGGGAATAACGTCATACACGATTATCGGCATTTTCCTGGCGTGGCGTCTAGTTGTCCGCAGCAAATCCTCACGTACATGCTCCCTCGACCTGTCCTATGCACGCAGGCAGTGTGGTGTACGGTGTACACCAGCGCTGCGTTGCACGCGGATGTTGTAGTGAAGCCGCGCGCTGTGGCGTGCACAAGCGCTGCGGTGCACGCAAGCACTGTGGTGTACATAGGCGTTGCGTTGCACATGGTAGCTGCGGTGTGCACATGTACACCGGCGCTGTAGTGTACGCAAGCAACGTGGTGTACACAGGCGCTGCGTTGCACACGTATGTTGCGGTGTACGCAAGCGCTGTGGTATGCACGCGCGCGCTATGTTGCACGCGAGCGTTGCGGCGTACACTGGCGCAGTGGGGCATATCGCCACCTACATGCTGCTCGCGTCGTCGTCGTCGTCGTCGTCGTCGTCGTCGTCGTCGCTCGTCGCTCGTCGCTCGTCGCTCGTCGCGTCGCGCGCGCGGGCGCGGCTGCGGTGCCGGAGCCACGCGGCGGGGGGGGCGTTACGTCATACCCCCCTTCGCCCCCCCCCCCCCCCCCCCAAAGACGCCCGTCATCGCCGAACATAAAAAAACGCTCTCGAGGCGCCACCCCCACCCCCGCGGGGCCCGCGTCGGGTCATCGGGGCAGCTTGGGGGGCTGAGCTGATTTCCTGGGTCCGAGCAGAAATTGACAACGACCCAGCAAAACTGCGGGGCGGGGGTCCTCGGGGGCGCCCTGCCCCCCCCCCCCCCCCCCCCCCCGCATTGCGAGTGGCGCATCGCTCGGGCAGTTTTTTTTTCTTTTATAAAAAGCAAACCTTTAGTGTCGAGGGCGCGCCAGGGCCGATCTCCCCCATGCTCGACAGGTTGGGCGTTGATAGGGGGGGCGGATGACGCGCCCCAGCGGGCCATCCTCAGTGTTCAGAGACTGCGAGTGTTGACGCCGCGCCGCGACTTTGCAGCCCTTTTTTCTGGTGAGGGGACCATGGTTTGCGCGCTTGGATTTGGCACTCTTGGGACCCCGTGAGGCCGCGCACCGAGGGTCACCCGTTGCTTTGGGCCCAGTGCCACTCCTGCGTGTAGCCGGAGGAATGCCAAATGTGCCCAACTCGGCACGGACATAAGTTTTCGGAGTTCCGCGCGGAGTTCCTGGGCCGGCGCTGGACGCCCATTGGCGGCGCCGCCCCTGGCGCGCTCCGCGCGCTTGGGGGATGTGGGCCCAACTTCCGAACCCAGAAATTCGCGCGGACCTCTGAAAGTTAATATGTATGCAAATGTTTTGATATCCCTGCCGAAGCTCTGGGTTGGACGTGAGGGGAACCAGCCAGTCCCCTCCGACTCCTCCTGGCTGGCCAATGGTTTTGGGGCTCCCTTTCTGCCCTCTGGATCTGACTTGGACTCGCGACATGTCCCCGGCTGACCCATGTCGGCCTTGAGCCAGGCCAGGCCAAACGTAGCCTCGAGGATCAGGGTTCTTTGATGTCTGTCGCCTTTTGTGGGCCTCTCGGAGGCTTCTTGTCGCCGCGGCAGGGTTGCCTTCGAGATTCTTCGCAAAATGCCCCGCGGGAATTCCTACAGGGTCGACTTGCATGTCAAGCGTGCCCCAGAACAGACCCACCTTGGCGAGGGGGGACCCTGTCTTGGCGCGCGGGGGCACGCCGCGCCCTGGAAAGACGTCTGGGCGTTCCCCAGGAGTGGACCACCGAGCACTACCGCGCCTTCGCCCGCCTGCTCTCCAAGGAGGCCCTGCTGCACACCGAGATCTGCGGTCGGCGGGCCATCCCGAGGGGGTCGGGGGAGGGTCCAGGAGAACAGCCCCAACGGACCCTCGAGAAGGCCAAAGATCGGGGAAGGTCCGTCGGGACAACGGCGGCCCTCACTGGCGTTGTTCGTCCTTTCCGAGCCTCCTGCAGGTTCCTCGTCGCCAAAGCTGCATCTGCTTCGAGACAACAGGTCAAGATGGATCCCTGGAAGCGTCTGGGACGGGATTTGGAGCGGGCGGGGGGGCTGCCGTTGTCCCAGTCGGCCCTCCCCAGCAACGGGCAAGGCAGATCGCCAAGGGAAGGCTGGTCCGGGCTATTTGCTCGGGTCTCTGCGGGAGTCTGCGGTGGCCCCGCCTCTCCTGGGGAGGCCCGGATGTCACCCCCTTGCGCCACCCACGAGGCCCCGAGGGCCCCATGGGCAGCGCATCGGTGCGAGAAGCCGGGGCACCTTCTTCACCACCCACCAAACCACCCCAACCCAACCCGAAGGCTCAGATTTACCCTCGATTTCTAGTGGGGGGGGGGGTCGAGAAACATAGAAAAAACACGCGTGGAACCCTTACCCCCCCCAACCCGAAATTCGCATCTTCGGGTTGGGTTGGGGTGGTCTGGTAGGTAGTCACTTCTGAGCCGGGACCACCCCCTGGCAGCCTCCCCTCCCATGCGGGAGTTGGCCAACCGACCGCGGCCCCAGATGCTGCCGGCCGAGCGCGTGCTGGCCGCCGAGGCGGAGTCGCCCGCCGCCCTGGCCGAGCTGCTGGCGTTCGACCCCGCGCACAGGCCGCTGGCCGTGCAGCTGGGGGGCGGGTGCCCTCGGCAGGTCGCGCGCGCGGCGGCCATCTGCGCCCGCGCCGGGTTCGACGAGGTCAACCTGAACGTCGGGTGCCCCAGCCCAGCCTGGCGGCGCGCGCGGAGGGGGCGGCGCGAGTGGAAGAAGAGGACACGCTGCAGAGGAGGCATGATCGGTTCGGAGGTCCATGCGGAGTTGAATGACCGGCTGGCGCGCGGAGCGCGCCAGGGGCGGCGCAGGAGCGCCGCCAGGGGGGGAGCACCGCCAATCCGGGGAGTCCGCCCGGACCTTGAAAAATGTGTGTATACTGAGGTTTGGTTCTTCCGGCTGGTGGGCGGCCTTCGGAGGAGGCAGGGGGGCTCCACGGAGGCCCCTCCCAGCCGTTCGGGAGGCCTCCTCAGACGCCCCCGATCCCTTCGAGCGAGCCTTTTGCCCCCGTCTTCTTAGAGTCTTGGAGGGCCACCCCCCTCCCTTGGCCCTGCCCCCTTGTGCGCGCCGCCAACCAGCGGTGGCACACAACCGCTCGGGCGTTGTCCTCATGAAGACGCCCGAGCTTGTGCACGACATCGCGAAGGAGGCCATCCGCGCGTGCGAGGGCCTCGGCGTGCCGGTGAGCGTGAAGCACCGGCTCGGCGTGGACGACCATGACAGTTGGGAGGAGCTCGTGTCGTTCGTGCGGCTTCTGGCGAACGCGGGCGTCACCCATTTCACCGTGCACGCGCGCAAGGCGCTGCTGGGAGTGCTGAGCGCCGAGGGCAATCGCACCATCCCACCGCTGCGCTACGACTGGGTGTTCGCCCTGGCGGCCGCCTTCCCGGAGCTCAGCTTCGAGCTCAATGGCGGCGTGTCGTGCACGCGGGAGGCCCTGCGGCTCCTGGCCGCCGACGACGGGCGCTTGGGCGGAGTGATGGTCGGCCGCGCCGCCTACAAGACGCCGTGGGTCCTCGCGGACGCCGACCGGGCCGTCTTCGGGCGGCCAGCCGCACCCAGCGCCTCGAGGGCGGAGGTGCTGGAGCGCTACCTGGAGTACGCCGCGGGCACCTTCTCGGAGCGGACACGGAGCGGCCGGGCGCCGCCGGGCCGCGGCGCGGAGGAGCTCGAGGACGCGCTGGCGGCGCCCGTGTCCTTCCTGTTCGAGGACCAGGGGCCCGAGTTCCGCGAGGCGTTGCTGCAGGGGCTGGCCGAGCTGAGGGGCAGCGGGGGCCGCGCGCCGAGGGGCGGGCCGCCGCAGTTCCTGCTGCGGAGGGCCGCGCTGGCCGCCGCAGCGGCCGAGGCCGCCGCCGCGAGCACCCGGGAGGGCGCGGGGCAGGGCGGAGGAGCTGCTGAGCGGGCACGCGGCTCGGCTGTCTGCCGAGACTCCGAGAGCCAGCGTCTCCCCAGGTAGCAAAACAGGCGCGAGGGCGTTGGTTGCTGGCGTGGACCCAGCAGCGGGTGCAACCTGCACTCTCGGTGTGCAACTATGAGGTGCAATGCACTTGCCGATATTGAAGTCGTCATGTCAACTGCTCGCGCAAAGATCCCGCCCACCCACCCGCAAACCCGGTCGGCAACAAAGACAATGACGATTACGTTGGTGATGGTGATGACGACGGTGATGACGATGTCGAGGACGACGATGGTGATGATGATGAACATGAAGTGATCACCACGACGAGGCAAACACTGACGCTGGCGATGATGATTACGATGTTGCTGGTGATCATGTTGAGGAAATCCACACACGTAGAAATCCGACGAGAGTTACGACGTCGACGACGACGACGACGTCGACGTCGACGGCGGCGGCGGCGGCGGTGATGATCCCGGCAATGTTGATTATATGGTGATGATGATGACGATGCTGATTGTGATGATGATTGTGATTCACGTGATGACGATTCCGATGCTGCTGACGATTGCAGTGATGACGCTGACGATGACGATAACGATTGTGCTGATGAGGATGATGAGACAGTGCGCGCCCGCATAATTCAAACATCTTGGTACGCTTGTATTGAAAGCCATTTGGGTGTTCGTATGCTGCTGCGTACCTCTGTCCTGAAGTGGTATACTGGAACGAATTCAACGTGCGCGCGCTGCGGACGCGCGCGCGTGTGGCCCGCATGGTATTATCTGACCGCGTTGGTGGGAGCGCAATGGCGGTCGTGGAATAGAACGCCAGCAATACCAACAACACATCAAACAAACAACATGTGAAGACATTGCTGGCCAGGAAGAGTAGCCGCGGCGCCGCGCCGCGAGGCCATCATGCAGGGCGTCGGCGCCGCATTTCCGGGCACAGGCGCCCCCGCGGGCGCGTGGTTGATGCGCGGGCGCCTGCGGGGAGGGGAAGCAGAGATCGAACATGAGATGGCACCCTTGCGGCAGAATATCCCATATCCCTAACAGTTTTGCAGAGTTATAAGATGGGGGCCACGATGGGCTCACACACCAGGGCGTTAGATAAAAATATTGATTTCTACCTGACAGAAGTCGTTTCGAGGAAACTTGCACCAACATGAATTCCTCTGAGGTCCGCGAGGGCTCTTGGGTCGGCGCGTTTCGCCAGCAGGGGACGTGGTCCAGCGCCGACCCACGAGCTCAGTGCGGACTTCGGAAGTTTCTGCTTAGGAAGCTGGATTCTTTCTTTAAGAAAGAGATCACAGGGTTGGAGGATTGAGTTGTCAGTTTACCCTGTCTTGGGCCTCTAGAAGGCTCCTCGTCGCCACGGCTGGTTTCCTTCCACGGTTCTGATCAGAACGCACTCCCGGAGAGATCGGCGGGGGCGATTCTTGAGGAAGGAGGGGCAGGATCACCACGAAGAAAAACAGGGGAAGACGGTTCTGGGGATTCCCGCCGTTTTCGGCATCCCAGGGCCCTCGGGGCCCTCGCTGGGCCTCGAGCCCGTCGAAACACAAATCGGGATGAAAAAGCAGGTCCCGGGGAAGGCCACGGGGTGATCGGGACCCGTTTCCTGCAGGGCCCCCACACTTCCTGCCGAGCCGAGTCCAGAGTTGGCAGTTTTCTCGACTCGCCGGCGGCGTCGGATGCTCGGGTCTCCAAGGTCGCGCGCGGGGGCGCCAAGGTGGCCACGGTTTCGCGACCTGGGCAGGTGGCGGGCCGCTCGTTCTCCAGGGGGGGGGCGAGGGGGGCGCGAAGGCGCGGAGATGGCCACGCCTCGCGCAGAGCGAACGCAAGCTGGGTGGCGCAGAACTCGGCCAGGGGAGCCCCGCTGCGGTGTGCCAGATGTTCTTCTCCAGAGGCGACGAAAAGGGAAGACGTGGACCATCGACGCCCCGTGCCCCCCCGCCATATTCGCCCCTATCGTCGCCTCCGCTGTTCGGCGACACTGCCGCGTTCTACCGCCGGTCCAGCGGTGCCCCCGACCACCACCGAAAGCGCGCTATTCCCACCAGGTGTTAGGGCCGGGATGAGGCAGTAAGGAGTTTGCCCGGATTTCCGTTTCAGTTTCATTCGAAAATCGGTCAACAGTTCGGTCAACAAATCGGTTCAGAAATAGGTTCAAAAATCGGTCGGAATTTTTATGTGTAAGCTTTTTGTTGCATTCCGAGCGCGTCCGCCAGCGCATTCAGCAGCGGTGCTTCTGGCGGATTGGATTGATTTGGAATTGTCTACGTTTTGCGAGGGCCTTTGTGGGGACCCTCAAGGGGGCACCTCTGGAGCCTTCTTGGGGCTATCTTGGCGCATTCTCGGGCCCCGCTTGGAGCTTACGAGGGGCCATTTCGAAGTCTTGAGAGTACCCCGAGAGGCCTCCAGGGAAGGTGGAATCCCGTAAACGATTTACACTCAGAGGGCCGGTGAGATTGCAGGGCCAGTGCAGGACATTTCAGGGCCGTTTGCAGGGTATTGCTGGGCTTTCCAAGGTATTGCAGAGTCGTTTTGCAGGGTACTGCAGAAGTCCCCAGCCTCCCCTCTCCGATTCCCTATGGGTTGGTGCCGTCTTGGAGGTATCTGGGGTTGTCTTGGGGACCTCTTGAGCTGTCTTGGCGCCCTCCTGGGCGGTTTGGGAGTCCCCTTAGGGCTTCTTGGGCCGGCTTGGAGAGCTCTCGGCGGCCTCTTGAGCGTTGAATTTCCCATGCGTTTTTCGGGGTCGCCAGCCTCGACCTCCCAATTTTCCGATGGATTGGGGCCGTCTTGGAGGGCTTTTGGGTTGTTTTGGGGGTCTCTTGAGCTGTCTTGGCGCCCTCCTGGGTTTTTTGGGGGTCAACTGGGGCGCTTCTTCGGCCCTCTTGGAGCGATCTCGGTGGCTTCTTGCGCGTTGCACTTCCTCTGTGTTTTAGGGGTCGCCAGCTCCCCCCCCCATTTTCCGATACATTGGTGCCGTCTTGGAGGTGTTTTGGGTTGTATTTGGGGGCCTCTTGAGCTGTCTTGACGCCCTCCTGGGCGTTTTAGGGGCCCTCTTGGGTGCTCTGTGGGCCGTCTTCGAGCGATCTCGGTGGCTTCTCGCGCGTTCCATTTCCCATCTATTTTTAGGTGTCGCCAGCCTCCCGTCCAAATGTTCCGATGGATTTGGGGCCGTCTTGAAGGTCTCTTGTGTTGTCTTGGGGGCCCCCTGGGTTGTCTTGACGCCCTCCTGGGCGGTTTAGGGGCCTTCTTGGGCGCCTCCTGGGCCATCTTGGTCTCTACCCCTCCCAGGGCCCTCCTCCCCAACGCCGCTCCCGACGCCTGGGAGAAATCTGGCAAAATCCGGCCGAAATTGCGGGCTCGCCAACCTTGTTCTCTCACAGGGCAAACGCATATCCGGCAGAATCCGCCTAGACATCTGGCAAAATCTGGCCAAAACTTTTGCATAATCCGGGCGAAGTTTGGTGCAACATCCGGGCGACTTGCGGGGGAAAACCGGCAGACACGGTCCCCGAATCCAGGAATTCTTCACGCTTCGCGTATCCCCACCAGCCCATCTCAAAGCAGCAACTCTAGCGAAGCATGCCGACAGTCGTGTTTTTCAGGCGTGTTTCCGCCTGCCCCCGCATATCTCCCCTGTTCCTCCTTCCTCCCGCCTCCTTGTACATCCTCCTTGTGGTGGGAGCGGGAGAAGGACGAGGCGGAGGAGGAGGGAGAGAAAGCGCTCCTCGTGGTTTGAGTCGTTCGGGCTTCTCGTCCTGGTGTGAGTCGTTCGGGCCCTTCTTCCTGGTGTGAGTCGTTCGGGCTCTTCGTGGTGTGAGTCGTTCGGGCTCTTCGTCCTGGTGTGAGTCGTTCGGGCTTCTCGTGGTGTGAGTTGTTCGGGCCCCTCGTCCTGGTGTGAGTCGTTCGGGCCCCTCCTCCTGCCCGTCCAGAAACGACGCCCAGGCGAGTAGAGGGTCGTCCTGATGGGCTTTTCGGCGTCTTGGGTGCCTCGGGGGGGCCTCTTTGGGCCGTTTGGGATCCTCTTGGGGGCCTCCTGGGGGCCTCTTGGGGCCATCTTGGGGCCTCTTGGTGCCTCCTGGGCGCTTCTTGGGGCCATCTTGGAGGAAATCGATCAAAGAAGAGGGGAGCTTTAATTAGCGCTGCCCCCTCAGAAGGCCAAAATGGGGCCAACACCTTAGTAAAATCAATGATTTTGGCTTGAAAGAAGAGGGGAGCTTTAATTTCATGAGCGCAGCCCCCTGAGAAGGGCCAAAGGGGGCGAAAACCGTAGTACAATCGATGATGCTTGCATCACGGAAGAGGAAGTAGTAGTAGTACTAGTAGTAGTAGTAGTAGTAGTAGTAGTAGTAGTAGTAGTAGTAAGTAGTAGTAGTAGTAGTAGTAGTAGTAGTAGTAGTAGTAGTAGTAGTAGTAGTAGTAGTAGTAGTAGTAGTAGTAGTAGTAGTAGTAGTAGTAGTAGTAGTAGTAGTAGTAGTAGTAGTAGTAGTAGTAGTAGTAGTAGTAGTAGTAGTAGTAGTAGTAGTAGTAGTAGTAGTAGTAGTAGTAGTAGTAGTAGTAGTAGTAGTAGTAGTAGTAGTAGTAGTAGTAGTAGTAGTAGTAGTAGTAGTAGTAGTAGTAGTAGTAGTAGTAGTAGTAGTAGTAGTAGTAGTAGTAGTAGTAGTAGTAGTAGTAGTAGTAGTAGTAGTAGTAGTAGTAGTAGTAGTAGTAGTAGTAGTAGTAGTAGTAGTAGTAGTAGTAGTAGTAGTAGTAGTAGTAGTAGTAGTAATAGTAGTAGTAGTAGTAGTAGTAGTAGTAGTAGTAGTAGTAGTAGTAGTAGTAGTAGTAGTAGTAGTAGTAGTAGTAGTAGTCGTAGTAGTAGTAGTACTGGTAGTAGTAGTGGCCGTACCACCATGCGTAGAAGTAGTAATAGTAGAGGTAGAAGTAGTAGTAGTGTGAGTCGTTCGGGGCCCGCGTCGTGGTGTGAGTCGTTCGGGCTCCTCGTGGTGTGAGTCGTTCGGGCGCCTCGTCCTGGTGTGAGTCGTTCGGGCCCCTCCTTGT